AAAGTTTTAAATTACAACATTTCAATTCTCACTGTTTTATTACAGATTTAGCCACATACGCTAACATGTTATGCGGATCTTATGGATTGAGATTCTCTACGCTCTTGATTGTAGAAAATTCTTATAGTTAGTCATATGGATCAATAATATCGGTTCATTTAGTGAACCACAAAATCAAAAGATTTTCATGTAACTTATATATACTTTAGTTATTATTGGTGGACTCCACCTAACGAGGAGAGATTTTTTTAAATAAGGGCCTGTTTGTTTCGGCCAAAAAATGCAGAAAATGAAGGAAAATGGCCTTTGGGAAAACTGACGCATGATGAATCTGTTGCTTCCCCTCACAATCGGATGTTTGCTTCGTAAAAAAGAAAGAAGAAAGTGAAGAAAAGAGTGGGCAATCTGACAGCTTTTTCTCCCAACAATTTTCCGCTCAAAAACCGCTGATTACAGCGGAAAACTCCACTTTTCTCTCTCCCGTACAAAAAACGCTGATTCTTCTTCCCCTTCCATTCTCGTTCTGGTCACCCCTCTCTCCTGCTCCCGCCCCTCTCTCCCGCTCCCACCCTTCTCTCCCTCTCATCCGAATCAACCAAGAATTTCCTCCTTCTCCTTCCCTCCCGCCTTCCAATCTAGGGCTCAGCCTATTCTCCCGCTGCGGCCTCCCCTCCACCCACTCCCTCTTCGGCGTCGACATCGCTGTCCTCACCAACGACACCCTGCTCCCCCTTGCCCTCCACCACCACACCTCCTCCCCCCGAGTCGTCCACCTTTTGGGTCTGTTTGGATCGCATTTGCGCTGTCTGACACTGATTGAAACCCTAGCCTTAAAACAAAAGGGAAAACACGACAACATCTTGGTTGATTTATGGAGGTACAATCCTAAAAATCAATTCTTTTGTATTTATTTAATTTTTTTATGGCTTTCATTTATCGATTTCCTTCTTCCTTTGACATCAGGTTTAAAATTTGTCTAAGTTTGGGTATTTTGACCCCCATTTCCTACTACGATTTGCACAAACTACTTCAAATCCGTAGTTGTTGATTGGCAGGTGTAGATATTGAAGATTATCTACTACGGTTCTCTGCTTTCTGCCACTAGGAAGGTATAAAATTTTAATGGTGATTATTCTGTGTATTTTTCCAGTCTGCATGTCATGTATTGGAGGATCTATTTCAGTTTATATAATTTTATTTGGTTGTTTTTTGAGATTTTGGTATGCAGACATCTATTTATTATTTAAAAATTTTGATTATAGAAATTATTAATAGCTTATCTAACTAGTCTTAATTTGATATGTATAATCCTTGCAACTTATATCTCATAGAAATTATTAATAGTATGAGATTGTATCTTATCTAACTTGTTCTCATATGATGCGTTGGAGAAATCAATTTTGCAACTTATATCTCCCAAAATAAAGCAAGCGTAGATGCTAAATACGATATTGTAAGAGGATCAAGGTGAATGATTTCACCTTGATGGATTGAGAGTATCCTACATATTTCTAGTGTGACGTTTGTATTTTGATAAAATAGTTTGATCATCAGCAGATAGGAGAATTAAACAAACATTTCATAAATAATTTTCCTAAAAGATTTTGATCATTTGCATTAATGTTGGTATTTGCTTTAATATGACGTTTGCATTTTAGATGGATGGTGATCTCGATGAAGAGACAGTAATTAATATGTGTTTGGGTGCTGCACTATCTATCTTAGTTTTGGTTATGACCTTCATGAGGAGAATGCAAAGCAGACGTAGATTTATACGTGCAAGTCCTAGTGTTGAGAAAACAAAACAATATCAAAATAGAAAACAACACTTGGATCGTATATATAATGGATTTAGTGATAGTTGTGTCAACTATGTTAGAATGCGTAGTGGTGCTTTTGTGAAGTTTGCAGGGATAATGAGGAGGAACGATTTATTGCGAGACTCAAGATAGTTGTGTCATCCTTTTGAATACATCAACAATGGTAGATGTATTAAACTTACATTTGTGCAAAGCTAATGCTACTATCTCTATCATCATGCATCTCAGTCGTGACTTTAAATGTTATATCGAATATTATTTGGCTAATGCAAACTTGTTTGAACAGGTTTACAAGTGGGGAAAGGTGAATGGTTTCACCTCGTTGAATTAAAGTTAATGAGGTATGCATATTTTGTGTCATGATGATGGGCTATTTTTTAGATATGCAGCCAAAGTTTATAACAGCAATATATTGGCGAGGCAATATATTACAGCCAACATTGCTATTATAAAATTCATGGCGGGGCAGATAATGAAGTAAATAGCCTTTTCTGAGCACATTTATTAGTTGTGTGCATTCCTTATTCATTTCCAGCAACTGTCTTTTTTCAGTTGTGTGCTTTCCATCTGTTTCTTGGCCTTATATTCGATTATGAATTTCTAGTCTTGGTTTTAGTTGTGTGCTTTCTGAGTGCTTTCAGGTGTGTTCCAACGTGTCTTCATTTCCAGCCTTTCTCATTTTTAGATCACAATCATGCATACATGCTCAGTTTGAGCTTGCCTTCTGAATTTCCAGCAAAGGTCTAATTTCAATTGTGTGCTTGCTAATTGTTGCTTGTCCTTTGGTTTCAGTCCTGTGCTTTCCCAGTTGTTGCTTCAGCATTGGTTTCAGTTGTGTGCTTGCATGTGATTTCAGTTGTGTGCCATTTTGTGGTTTCAGTTTTGTTGGTTAGCAGTCTGATTATCTGAATATTGGCCTATGTGATTCAGTTGTGTTGTGTTGGTAAGCAGTCTGAATTTGCAGCAAATGTTCAGTTGTGTTGCTTGGGAAATTGATTGAAATGATTGTTATGTAATTGGGAATTTGCAACCAATGTTTGAGTATAGTTGAGTGCTTGCCTTATTCATTTCCAGCAAATGTTTTGTTTTAGCTATTGGGCTGGTTTCAATTGTTTGCTTGGCATTTGGTTTGAATTGTTGGCTTCGCCCCAAGTTTCATATGTGTGCTTGCATGTGGTTTCCGTTGTGTGCTTTCTTTTGGTTTCAGTTTTGTTCCAACTTGTTTGAATTTCCAGCATACGTTTGGTTGCTTATTGTGTTGGTGCATACTTGGTTTCCAGGATGCGTTTGCCAGCTGATACTCTGTAGTATTGGCCCTTGGACTTCAGTTCTGTGCTTACTTGTCTTAATTTTTAGCAATATTTTGGTTGTGTGCAGCCAATGAATCAGTTGTGATGTGTTGGTCAGCTATGTGACAGTTTGGCAAGCTTTATACTAATGCGTTTTACCCCATCAGCAGGATTATGTGACAGTTCTTTGTTGGTCTTGTTGTAGAACTTTGTGAATGTGTTTTACCCCATCAGTTGTGTGCTTGCCAAGTGTGTTTCCATCCAATGTTGGTCTTGGCCTTGCGTTCAGCCTTGGTTTGGTTTCCTTTGTGCTGGCTATTTGTGCATTACATGCTGGTTTTCATAACTTGGTGCTTGGTGGGCTGTATGTTTGGGCTAGTTGTGTATTACATGCTGGTTTTCATAACTTGGTGCTTTAGGGGCTGTTTGTTTGGGCTATTTGTGCATTACATGCTAGTTTTCATAACTTGACGCTTGGTTGTTAGTTCTTGGTTATATGACCTGGTGCTTGGATTTTAGTGCTTGGTTTGGCCTTTGGTTTCAGCTATTGACCTTGGTTTCAATTTTGTGCATGGTTCAGCCTGCTCTCGGCCTTGGTTTCAGCTCTTGCTTGGCCTTTGGTTGGTCAGCTATGGTTGGACTACGGTTTCAGTTGATGCTTGGCCTATGTTTCAATTTTGTGCAGGTTTTAAACTTCTCTCGGCCTTGGTTTCAGCTCTTGGTATGCATATTTTGTTGGTCAGCTATGGTTGGCCTTTGGTTTCATGTTGATGCTTGGCCTTTGTTTCAATTTTGTGCATGGTTTCAACCTGCTCTCAGCCTTGGTTTCAGCTCTTGGTTAGCCTTTGGTTGGTATGCATATTTTGTGTTATGATGATGTGTTATTTTTAAGATATGCAGTCAAAGTTTATAGCAGCAATATATTGGTGAGGCAATATATTGCAGCCAACATTGCTATTTATAAACTTCATGACGATGTAGATAATGAAAAAAGAGCATTTTCTGAGCACAAAATATATTGCAGCCAACATTGCTTTGGGTTCAGTTTTATGCTAATCTGTTATTCATCATTTGATTCACTTGTGATCATAAGATAATTGATTTTGTTCACAATGTCCATGTTTATATGCACAACTATGATGATAAGTGGTAATCTTACCATGGTGACCACAATCAAGTTTTCTTGATTTTTTAGTTTGAACCAAACACTAGCAAAATGAGGAAATCTATTCACAATTCAATTATTTTCTTCTTTTTTCAAGTTGAACCAAACTAAGAAAAATGGTGGAAAGTACTTTCACTCCATATTTTTTGGCGAAACGAACACAAGAAACATTTTTCAAGAAAGTGAAGAAAACGCTAGAAAGTGAAGGAAAGTCATTCATGGAAAGTGAAGGAAACGAACCAAACAGGCCCTAAGTTAGATGACTAACGAAGAGAGATTACTGATGGGTTTTGTGGTGTTTCTCTACAGTCAAGAATACAATCAATGATATAGAGAATCTCTATACGAATTTTATGCAATTCATTTGGTATATAAATTATAGAATGCTGGTGGACTCTATAACTTATCCAGAGGACTGCTAGCATCAATCACGCCGCCTGCAGTCGCACGGTTTGCTCCCAAAAATAGAGTGTGGGGGGGGGGGGGGGGGGACTCTATATTTGGGGTGAAAGCCGCAGCCACTTCTAATTAAAAGGACTAATTGAGAGAGGCTTTCTGAAATTACTAACCAAATATTGGCGAAAAAAATCTCTCGAATCTCGTTATTAAGTAGAGTGAGGTTGCCGTCGCCTTACACATCAGGTGCCTATTGTATCATGTACAATGAGAATTATTGAGTGATCTTTATCCAACTGCATTTATGATGTATCAAAAAAATAACAATCCTTGGACCAGCGGGTGTGGAGATTTATTTGTTTGACGTATTTACCATAAATGTTGTAGGCACAATAATGTTGCAGACACACACAAGCACAAGTAAATCCATCAAACATCACTTGTTTAAATGAAAATTTTAACGGAAGTGGGAATAGATGGGTTATACATGTCGACGGAATGACATAAGGGTGTTTTTTATTTTTATTTTATATTCTTTATCTATTATTGTTATTATTATTGTTATTGGTAACATGAGGGTGAACTGAGATAATTAAATGGAGATGAATGATTATCTGTCATCTGCGCACGGCGTCACCTGACTTTTCTAAGCATTAGTCTGTACATAGGATCACCTCGACCTATGACATGTTGCTCCCAATCTGACTGTACACCAAATGGATTGTTTGGAAGCCAACCCTCGCCGTCACCTCCCTCAATCACAAGCTTCTCCTTTCCGAACATCATAAACTGCTCTTTCATTCTCAAGGCAACAGCTTCTATGTCAGATTGCAAGAAAATCTGCAAATAAGTTCAAGTAAGATTAACGGAGACCACAGGAGGCCAGCTGGATTATGGAAACAGCAAACATCGATAAGAGCGTAGATAGTTAATTTGGTGAGTACCAAGAGGCTAAGACAATATTATGAAATGTTTGTATCATAAAGACGGCATGGATGACTCCCAGTTTTATATACAACAAAAGGAATAAAGATTATTGCTCCTCAAAGAGGGTTCTTCTCTCTTTAGAAGATGATGCAAAGACAAACAGAAAAGTTTGCAAAGGATTGATCAGATATAATGAAAAGAACATACCTTTCCATTGGTGACAAGAAGATCGATTACTGCTTCAACCATTATCCTCTGCACCATTCTCCATCTATGTTCTTCTTTGTTGAAATCAGGATTTGGGCACTGAACAAGAGAATTGACGGTTAGATTTTTTTTTAATATAAAGCTGTTAGTGCTTTTATTGTTCTCGGCAATAAAATAGAAATTTCCTACTGTCAGCTTATTAAAAATCCAATCAACAGAGAAAATATTGTGATTTTGAACTCACCGGTAAAGGGGGAGGAAAGAAGAAAAGAAACATAAAGAAAGGTCAAAAAGTTGCAATTTTTTTGTCTTATCTGGATTAAATTTTAAATTAAATAACACTTCAATAGATGAACTTGTTGGCCTTCTTATTTTGATGATGATTTACAAACAATTTACTACTAATATTGTTTGTCTAGTGTTTGTGTTTTCTTATTTATTGTAGACAAACAATATGTTGGAGGATGGATGGAATCGAGCATTCACGATCATATCAAATGGAGGTTGGCGGAATAGTGGTTGAAGCCTATGCAATTCAAGTTGAAGATCCAAGTTTAAGCTTCATCCGCAGAGTGTACCAAGTCAAGCTTATTGAAGATCAAGATCGGCTTGGGTAATCTAGTTTAGCTTTTATATTATGTGTGTTAGATACTCTAAGCTCAATATCATATACACACACATTTTATTGGTTTCCTTGTATATATATGTAATCATATATATATACGACACAAGTTTTGGTTTTCATGTTTATAAATATGAAATTACATATTTCATATTTATAATTGTGATTTGGTTTAACTACTTAGATATGAAACAAATATATTTTCATATACATACTCATATGTTTTATTTTCTATTGTATTTATAAAAATATTGTATTCTTAGTTTTTGGACTTAACAATAATCATATACATATTTTATTAAGTCTACATAATCATTGTGCAAAGTTTTAAAACATGGTTTAGCCAAAATGTCAAAATTCACATGTTTACATTTTCATGTTTTGGCCTATTTTGTAAAATAATGATATTTTTCATTTGGGAAGTCCTTTTTGGAAACCAGTCGTTGTAGCATGTTTATTATCATGTCTACAATCATTCCCCAAGTTTTACATTTTTTGAAATTTATTTGATATTTTTAAACAGTATTTTAAAATCAGCAACGGCTATTTTTAGAGCCGTTGCAGAATGGTTTTTTGGTCATTTTGTTTGGGTTTTTGGGTGAGGTCTTGGAGGCTATAAAAACCCTCTTTGATCTCAGTTTTCATGTACTCAAGAAATGTTTTAAACAAGTTTAAAGAGTTTTAAACAAGGGTTTAAGTGTGTTTTAGTGTTTGTTTGGTTTGAAGATTGTTTTCACAAGTGGAGGAGATCATCTTCTTGTTTGGGCTCCAATCTCCATCTCTCCATCTTGTCATCTATTGGAGAAGTTTTCTAAACTCTATCTAGCTTTACATTTGCTTAGTTATTTGATTATCATTCTTTAAAGCTAGTTTTTATATTGAGTTGTTTAGATTTGATTTCATCTCATTGTTACACACACCCACTTGAGCTTATTGTATTTGCATACATAGTATATTAGGGTTGTGAGAGATTGTAACATTGAGTTGTGCTTAATTGAGTTCTCATCTATTGTAGAGAACAAATTTATATTTGTTACATTGTGAATGTTGTTAGGTTTTCGGTGAGCTAGAAAACCGAGTGTGTTGTTGTGAAGTTTTCGGTGAACTAGAAAACCGAATGTGAGGAGTGAACGTTGAAAACCGACATTGTGAGTGATTGTGAACGTTGATCGGTGAGCGTTGAAAACCGACACTGTGAGGTGTAAACGTTATTCGGGTGAGCGTAGAAAACCCGGTTGTGATAGTGGATTTCTACCCGGGAGTGGGGAGCGGAGACGTAGGACGGAAGGTTCGAACTCCGTGATCATTTGATTGTGTTTGTGCTTTGGCGTTTATTTATATTTGTGCTCATTGCTCATATCGCCATTGTCTCATTATTTATATGATCCACTACCTAGCTCATATTGTTTACCCCTTTGTGTTAGTTTCATATCCTTGCATATATCTTGTTGTATGTATCCTTGCATATATATTTCATCATATAGGATATATCTTTTGTTTACATTGCTTATCTTAGCTCATATATCTTGTGGTATTTCATACTTGTTAGGATAACTTGTTAATTAATTTTAATTGGCATATAATCGGATTAGATTAGTATAAGACCCTAATCACCCCCCTCTAGGGTCTAACAGAACTAACCCTAGTCTATAAAGCTCTTTGATATATTCATAACTGAAAAAACTGAAACATAATCTTGTTTACCATACAATGAAATCAAGTTATCTGAAAATAAACATAAGAAAAAACTGAAACATAATCTTGTTCACTTACACAAAGAAATCAAGTTATCTGAAAATAAACATAAGCAATAGAGAACCAAAGAACTTAATCATTTGTATTCTCCTGGACTCCTCAGTTGTCATGTATCCATAGGTTTTAATAACTGAGCATGATGGTGCAAGACCATTATGTCAAAGTTTGAAATAAGGAAAAGTATAAATATATCGTCCATCACTTGAGAACTGAAGCGAGCTAGCTAGACGATTTGCAATTTATAGTATATAGATGCTGCAGATCAAAGGTACAAATACATGTTGCTCGGGCTTGTTACCATACAGCTATGAGAATAATGGAAGATTGACAAATAATTATTCAAATATCATCTTCTCTTTAAAAGCACGAGTTCGGAAAAATCTTTCTATGGTCAATATTGCCCTTCACTATTTTAAATATTTTATTTATATCTTAATCTATCCTAATCATAATTATATCCTATCCTAATCCTATGTGAACTATTTATAGCTTACCAATTTAAAAAAATAATATTAATAATATATATAAAACATCTTGTATTAGTTTGTTAAGATAAAGAAATTATACGCCGCTAACGTACTATAATACATAAAGTATTGTAAAAAACCTAAAAAGTTTTAAAATTGCACAAAATACCCTGAAAAGTTTAAAATTATAAAAACTATCTCGTAAAAAACCTAAAAAGTTTTAAAATTGCACAAAATACCCTGAAAAGTTTAAAATTATAAAAACTATCTCGACGTCTAAAAACTTAAAACAACAAACAATAAAAACTATCTCGACGTCTAAAAACTTAAAACAACAAACATGAAATTAAGAAATTAACAGCAGTTTGCGAAGAATTTAAATTTTGTGGTTAACATCTCAATATCTCAAAAATTATAGAAACACTCTCAGAAGTTCAAATTACAAACAAGCACCTGAAATTATAAATTTTTAAAACTTACAAACAACATAAATGAATTCAAGGGATTATCATAACGCACCTGAAAATTTCTGACATTTCAAACCTTAAAACAACAAACAGGAAATCAATAAATTAATAGCAGCCTCTAAAGAATTTAAAATTTTAAATTAACACCCTCAGTATCCCAAAAAATAAAGAAACACACTCAAAAGTTCAAATTATAAAAAACAACCCTGAAATTTTTAAAATTTAAAAATTTACAAATAATAAAAGATGAATTAAAGAGATAACCCTCATGCACCAAAAAATTTAAAATTTGTAAAAATTTAAATTTTGCTAAAATTAACCTCAAAGTTACAAAAGTTATAGAAAAAACTCTTTAAAAATTTAAAAATCATTAAAAAAACTCTAAAATTTTAAAATTTATAACCAGTACACATCAAATCTGAAAACTATTGGTAGACCGCTGAAATTTAAATTTTTTAAAAATTAATGTACAGTTTTAACAATTACAAAAAACAGTCTCAAAATTTCAGAGTTGTAAGAAGTATCATGACATTTAAAAATTACCACCGACACATGAAACATAGAAGTTACAACTACCAAACTTAAAAGTAGTTTTTAAAAATGCTCCTAAAGTTTTAAAAATTACAAATCACACCCTCGAAGTTTAAAACCATAAAAAAAGCTGAAATTTTAAACCTTGACAAAGANATTACCATATAAATTAAAGCAACTACATAAAATTTTACTAATAAGTTGGAGCAGCAAAACACATTAGTAACATTAATTGATAGAAGTTTAAATCCATAAAAATGATAAAAAAAACTATAATATAATAGCTTAGCATTAATTGATTATAATTTAGAAATATTAATCTTTGATGTTAATAATATTTAGAGTAATCGAATATAATGAATTACGTATGGAGATACTATCAGAATGTTCAGAGATATCCTTCAAAAGAATCAAACTATTTTCATTGTAAATGGGAAAGTGACAAAAATAAATCTAAAATTCAGAAAACGTCCATGAATCATTTGAATTGGCATTAACATAAGGTATGTCTATTAAAGAAGCACAACTAAATTACATTAAAGAATAATTTAATAATTTTATCCCAATCAAAGGAGAATTCTCTATAGAATATATAAAAAAAATTAGTAAGCATTCATAAATTTCATACTTTGCTCTTCAAATACTAAAGAAATTAAATATTAATATTATAATCTAAGGCAAATTAGCAATAAAAATACAGGTAATTAGTTTAGATCTTTGTGAAAAATGATAAGAATAGAGCAAATGTAATATTATTGACGTAACAGAAACTCTTATTAGATACACATCGGAAGAATTCATTGTAGAGAAAAAGAGGTAACTCCTAATCTTATTTAAGTAATAAATTAGAAACACAAAGAATTTCATATATATGAGATTAATAAAAATATCAAAATCTGTATTTTAAGAAGTTTGTGTTGAACATCGGAAATACATTTAACTTATTTATAAAGTTAAATGACAAGTTAAAAGATTAACGAGCCCAAAAAAGATAACAGCACAAAAAATATAACTCTAACATGATATCACAATCGAGTAGATAATGAAGACACTACTCTAGAATTGTCCGTGAAAAAGATAAAGGTGAGAAATGATTGATTTTAGCTTAATAAAAAAAATAAAACAGGAAGAATAAAAAATAATATTTTTTGAATATTTTATAGAATAGTTTAATTATTTTGAGTGAATTTAGGAATCTTTAGAAGAGAGTTTTATGAGATTATTTCAGTATTTTTCTATGCTTGTGCAGATGCTTTTATCATATGAAAGTATACTAGAGTTAGCATTAACTTTAATTTATAATTTCTTATGAAATCTATCAATGATTAGGAATAAACTTCATATTCTCTTTTGTATCATTTTAGTATACTTTTAACCAATCATTTTGACTTATTGGTTTTAGATATTCATCTTTCTTGTATAACATTATTTCAATATTTTTCACTTTTGTAACACTGTACTTTCGCAAGTAAAGCTTGGTATCATGTCAGTCAAAATAATATAAAAATTTAAATTAGCTTAAGTAAAGCTTGGTATCATGTCAGTCAAAATAATATAAAAATTTAAATTAGCTTCAAATTATATTTATTTTCTATCAATTCAAATATCAACATGAAAATTTAAATTGGGTGTAGCCCATTTAAACAAACGTCAAAGAAATTAAATAATCGCAATATTAAAGTTTAGAAACAAAAGTGAACATAAGCTATTAAAGTGGAACTGAGAAACAAATTTTAGTTAAAAAATAATTTAAAAATACTTAATCATGGTATTTAACCACGTGCATTGCACGTGTATAAAACCTAGTAAAATTAAAAGGACCTAGTCACTAATGGTCTTTTTAAAATTTTTTGCGCTCCTTTGTTAATTGTTAACATCAATTAAATAACTTACATGTATTGAGGTGAGAACCAGAGCTCCAGGATAGCTTGAAATTATTGAGTGAAATGAGGACGTAGCATTTGTTGATAAGAAATATCTAATATGAATAAATAGACATAAAAAATAGTTAAGAAAAATATATTGGTAAAGGAAGCAAATGCAAAATGGAGATGCAATGTCAACACGAATGGTTTAAACATGCCATTAGTTCCCTTAATTCATGAAACATGACTATCTAATCCTGAAACACGACTCCATAAAATAATGAGAACACGTGGTCTGTAAGAAATAAGTGGTTATACACCATGAATAATGAAAAAAAATTAATTATTGAGACAGTTGAACTTGTGCACCGCTACAATTTTTTTTCCTTTGGGTGGTGGAGAGGGGGAGGGGTCAGAGAAGAAGATGGACTCAATGAATGCCTCAGAACGATCGAGCTCACGATCAGAACATCAATTTAGCACTGAAGGCAGAGGACAGTAAAAAACCTGGTGTAAAAGATGAATGACACTCAAACCAATCAGATTAAATGCAGAACCAAACAGATTGATCCAAATAGGGTAAGTTCGGTTTCTATTTTATGTTTTCCTGTCAAAAATCAACAACATGAACTTGCAGAGGTATAGTTATCCTCACTTGGAATTTAGCACCAGCAACTCATGGAGGATTGACATCAGGTTAACAACCTGTTAAAGTTTGATCCCATTATTTATGAATATCTTTTCAGTAAACACTATTGACCCTATTTTGATGGGAAGCTTAGACAATAAAAAGCATGTCTACATAATTGCATCTTTTGGCAAATCATTATTGACACAAATTTCGTAAGTATTTACATGGTATTTGAGTTTTGAATGCTGTACTCAATTTGGAATAAATTAGTTGCAGCAGATATTTCAGATGCTAAAACATTATAGTAGCCAAAATTAATAACTAACAAAAAAAAAACTCAGAACCTCCTTCAAAACACTGAATATAACTTACATGGTATTCAGTGAGTATATCTACAAAGTTCCATATCTAGAAAGTTCCAATTTTCAGTATTTTACAGAGAATAACTTCAGAAAGGAGCACTTACACATTGTTTAGGACACCATGAATTCTCTGCTGGCAGCGTTTAACAAGCTAAAAATAATAACAATCATAAGTTAAAAAAAGCAAAGTCACATCTTGCCCTGCATTATGGAAAAGAAGAGAAAATAGTGTACCTTATCATTAATCTCAAGACCAAGGAAATTTGAATGTTTCCATCTCTTGGCCATGTTGAAGAGAAATAAACCATTTCCTACAATATTAAAAATCATTCTGTGCTGAAAGACTTGAAAGCATGACAGATGAGAAGGACAGAGAAAACGTAGCCAAGAGCCTGTAACACCAATTTAAGATTCTCTGAAAGAGAAACCGGCTCGGTTATAAGCTGCAATGGGGTTGGATCATAAAGGTCCCAGGTTCATGATATCTAAAGAACCTACAGCCCTCACTCAAAAGTACACAAGTAAAAATAAAATAAAAATAATAAAGAAGTCATTCATAGCAATGAGTACATATTAGGCAGTCATAATTACCAGAGTTTTGAAATTAGACTTAAATGTTTCCCAGGATGATTTCAGAGTTTTGATGAACTATAATACCGTAATAGTTAGAACAGTCAGAATTTCATGTGCTCCTAAATAGCATCACGTAAAGGTCAGCGTTAGGTTCAATTTAAGATGAACACAGAACTATCAAGAAGACTTCAGTTAGAATATAAGACTATCATTCTCAGCCCTCACCACAACTTCGAACCTTTGGTGCCGTGGCATGGACTTTAAGAAGGGTATCAAAGTAACCCAGGTTACATGCCCCCTCCCCACAAAGTTGTGTGAATCAGATTTCCCCCATGAAAAGGGCACTCAACCTGCAGGGACATGTTAGAATCAAGGTTTTAAATATCGGATGTCGGGTTCATGTCGGATGGCTGAAATCCATGTCGGATAGCGGAAATCGGGGATATATCGGGGGACATTGACTAAATATCGGATTGCCATATCGGGTAGTGCGCATATGTATAATATCATGTCCTAAATGTAATCTAAGCATTCATAAATTCAATATAAGCATACTTTATAAATTCTATAGACTAAACATATAAAAAAGTAAATAATATATGGATTTAGGTTCATAAATTCTTTCTATCGGGTTCATAAGAAACCTTTAAACATGAGAACGGGTCAAACGAGTTTGAGTATTTATCACTAAACCCAAACCCCATAACAAAAAATAGATCTTAAAAAAGTACCATATCGATCGATTTTTTAAAGCTAAAAAATAGGCCAATATGCCCGATATGACCCTGATATTTCCGATTTGGCCCTGAAAACCGACATACGAGTTGAAAACGTTCATGTCGTGTCGGTCAAGCCCTCAAACCGATATGTCGGCCGACATGTCGGACATGTCGGGCGACATCTAAAACCTTGGTTAGAATATAAAACTATAACCCTCAAACCTCACAACTTCGGAGCATTGGTGTAGTGGCAAGGACTTTATGTTGACATATGAGTAATATGTAGGGACTTATTTGTAAGTTGTATTTTGTAGGGCCTATATAAGCCCAAGAGATCTCATAATAAGATTTAGGGTTTTCTCATATATTTCAACTTGGTATCAGAGCCTCCACCAAAACCCTAGCGTCGTCTCCCCCCCCACCCCGGCTGCCCGCCCGCTCACGCCGCCACCCCCACCGGAGCATCAACCCCCCTTCCACGACAGCCCCCCTCGGCGAGCAGCCCCCACCCACAGCAGCCCCCTTGCAGCCCCACCCCCACGGCAGCCCCCCACCCACCCCACAGCAGCACCCGCCCCCCCCACGCAGCCGCCCCCTTGCGCCCCAACCCCACGGAACCCCCCACCCCACGCAGCCCCGCAGCACCCCACAAAGCGCCCCACACACCACAGCAGCCCCCATGGCAGCCCCCCACAAGCAGCCCCCTCGCAGCAGCCCCCCCCCATGGCAGCTCACTCCACACACAGCCCCCCCCCCACGGCAGCCCCCTCGCGCAGCCCCCCACCCCAAGCAGCCCCACACAGCAGCCCCCCGTCGCGGCAGCCCCTTCATTGTATCTAGAGTTTCGCAGCAGCCCCCTCGGCCAGCAGCCCCTTCACCCCCCTCCGCCCCGCGATGCATCGCGTGTCGAACCTAGAGTTTGGCATGGATTCCCTCGACTCAGTCCTCGAACTGATGACAGGAAGAGTATATATCTCACATCGATGAGATATATAACTGTTTTTTGTTCTTGTTTTCTCTGAGAAACGAGAATTTGTTTGCGATCCTACTCTTGTTGTGCAGCAGAAGTGCTGCCGAAATTTTTACTGCACACAACAAGGGTTGGAAGAGTAGGTGATCAGGTGTTAGGTCTGAAGCTTGTTCGATGGAGGAGATCATCAAGAAGTTGAACCCTGCGGAGGTGTCAACTTTGATGAAGCTAATGAAGTTGTCGGCTGGTGAGAGCGCGACAAAACCATCGAAGAAGTTGGAGCTTCCGACCATCGATCTGAAGCTGGATGGACCTAGTACGTACCTGAGCTGGTCACGGCGGGTGAGATACACCCTTGCAGGGAGGAACCTGGAGGGTTATCTGACAGGAGAAGCGACAGAGCCGGATAATGACTCCGAAGGAAGAGACGAGTGGAAGTCCACACACATGTTGGTGTATATCTGGCTCCTCAACTCATTGGTCCAGTCGATCGCCGCCACAGTTGATGGCATTGAGAAGGTGAAGGACGTCTGGGAAAAGTTGAGGAGGACCTATGATGGAGTAGGGAATAACTTACGGGTGTTCCAGATTAAAGGAGAAACCGACGTCACAGTCCAGGGAGAGCGGACTGTACAGGAGTATGCCACAGAGCTGGAGCATCTGTGGCTAGATTATGATCATTTTCCCCCCCGGGCTAGCTGCAAGGACCCGGGATGTAAAGAGCGGGAGGCCTTTCTACAGGAGAGGACTATGGTGTTTCTCAAGGGATTGACATCAGAGTTCGCTCAGCGAATCGCATTGCTGCTAGCTCAGCCGAAGATTCCCACGCTTGAGGAGGCTATCTCTGCTATGATCCAGGAGGAGACTCGCATTCGGCTACAGGCGGGGACATGTGGACTTCCTGTGGTGAAGTCAGCACTGACAGCCTCTAGCAGCACTGGATCTAGGGGAGAGACTCGACAGTGCTACAACTACGGTGCGGTGGGTCATCTAAGGCATGCTTGCACCAAGCCACCCAAGGAAGGAGATTCGGGTGGACGTGGACAGTTCGGAGGTCGTGGTCGTGGCCGTGGGGGTCGACGAGGTGGAAGAGGAGCAGAGAATCGGGCGAATCTGACGGTAGCAGAAGAAGAAGAAGCTGAGGTGGTCTTTACAGAGGAGGATCGTGCTCTCCTGACGATACTCAGAAAAAAACAGCAAGTAGCAGGGGATGGAGACTTGAGGAGTGGGACTGAGGAGGCATCCACCTCGTTCTTCGTCAGAGGCATTGTACTGGTTCTGTAACTTTGTCCAATGTTTTGCATGCTCCTTCCTTTCCAGTCAATCTTTTATCCATTAGTTCTATCATCCTCCAACTAAAATGCATTGTTTTTTTTTTTGATATTCCCAAGGTGATCTTTCAGGAGAAGGGGACAGGACGGAGACTTGGGACTGGCACATGACGTAATGGACTGTGGTATCTAGATCGTGAAGGGCTAGATTCAGCTTTGGTGTCAATGGTAGAGAGAGCAGAAGTAGGATCTGAGATGAGTGCTGAGAATGTGTTGATGCTTCATCACAAACGCTTGGGACATACTTCTTTCGGTGTTTTAAGTAGGTTGTATCCATCTTTATTTGAGAAAGTAAATAAAGAGTAACTTGTGTGTGATGCATGTAAGTTGGGAAAGCTTACTAGAAGCTCTTATGTTAGTTCTGATCATAGGAGTTCTCATGCATTTGATATGATACATTCAGATGTGTGGGGGCCGTGTTCCACAAGTTCTATGAATGGATACAAGTATTTTGTTACCTTCATTGATTGCTTCTCTCGCGTTACTTGGTTATACCTGATGAAGAATAAGAGTGAAGTGTTTGGCTGCTTTCAAAACTTTCATAGGTATGTTCAGACTCAATATGGAGCAGTGATGAAGGTATTGAGATCTGATAATGGGACAGAGTACACCAACAGGGTGTTTGGAGAATACTTATCATCTCAGGAAATACAACACCAGACTACATGTCCATACACACCAGCTCAGAATGGGGTAGCGGAAAGGAAGAACAGACATCTTTTAGAGGTTGCTAGAAGTATGATGATCTCCATGAATATCCCAAAAACATTGTGGGGGCAAGCAGTATTGACTGCAACGGCGCTGATCAACAGAATGCCCTCGAGAGTACTGGATTGGAAGTCTCCGTGTGAGACGTTGAAAGGAGATAATGGTGAGATTCTTCCACTGAAAGTATTTGGCTGTGTATGCTTTGTGAAGGATAACAAACCATCAGTCGGGAAGCTTGCCCCTAGAGCGGTGAAGTGTATTTTTGTGGGATATTTTGCTACTCAAAAGGGATATATTTGCTGGAGTCCGGTGGAGAAAAGGCTGTTCGTGAGCATGGATGTGTGCTTTTGTGAATTTGAGCCATATTACACACAGAAGGTACCCTCATCCGTTGGTGACTCGCCCAATACTGGAAGTATGAGGCGAGAAGGGGAGAATGGTGAGAGGCAGATGAATAATGTAGAGAATAATATGGAGAAATCGATTTCTCTAACGATTCCTTGGGAAGGAGAATTGGTTGAGGAGGAGCAGGAGAATAAAGAAGAAGAGGATAAGGAGACAAGAAGTGTTAGGCCCACGGCTCAGGGGGAGCTACTTACCTATAGTAGGAAGGGGAAGCAAATTGCAGAAACAGTACCTACAGTGCCACTAGTGCCAAGTCCCTTATCAACGCCTGTCCCGACTCCTGAGACACCTACACCACCATCAGATTCCTCTCAAGGTGATATCATTCCTCTCATTACTCCTCCCACACCAATGTCAGTACGGAGGACTACTCGCAGCAATGCGGGACATCCTCCCGATAGATATGGTTGGGATCTTGCCTAGTTTGTATCATATTCTAATATTCATCCTGCACATGGAGCATTCATTGCATCATTGGACTCTGTTACTGTACCTAATAATTGGCAGGTTGCTAAGAAGGACCCAAAGTGAAAAGCAGCTATGCACGAGGAACTAGGAGCTCTGGAGAAGAACCGCACTTGGGAGCTAGTAAAACTACCAGAAGGAAAGAGAGCAGTTGGATGCAAGTGAGTCTTCACTGTGAAGCAGAATCCAGATGGACAAGTTGAGCGCTACAAGGCTCGTCTGGTGGCAAAAGGGTATAGCTAGACGTATGGAATCGACTATGATGAGACTTTTGCACCGGTAGCGAAGATGAGCACTGTTCGGACCTTGATCTCTCTGGCAGTAAATGATGGATGAAAGCTACACCAACTAGATGTGAAGATTGCATTCCTTCATGGAGATCTGGTGGAAGAGGTATACATGAAAATACCACCAGGATTCGACACAGATCAGACAGTGGGCAAAGTCTGCAGATTGAAGAAGTCTCTCTATGGCCTGAAGCAGTCTCCACGTGCTTGGTTTGACAGATTCAGGAGGGCTATGATTGGTATGGGGTACCAGCAGATCAACGCCGACCATACCGTGTTCTTTCGACGAAGTGGAGGCCACATTACCATGCTGGCGGTATATGTGGATGATATGATTATTACAGGAGATGATGAGAAGGAGATTGCCCAACTCAAAGTGAGACTGGGTAAGGAATTCGAGGTGAAAGATCTTGGCTTGCTTCGATATTTTCTTGGGATAGAGATAGCTCGAGGAGCTGAGGGGATTGTTCTCTCCCAAAGAAAGTATGCACTGGATCTTCTCAAAGAAACATGGATGTTAGGGTGTAAACCTGCAACTACACCGATCGATCAGAAGTTTAAACTGGGTGCTGAGGCTGGAGAGCCAGTTGATCGTGACAGATACCAGAGACTAGTGGGCAGGTTGATCTATTTGAGTCACACACGTCCCGATATCTCTTTTGCAGTGAGCGTGGTAAGTCGCTACATGCATGATCCGAGGAAGGGTCATATGGACGCAGTGTACCAGATTCTTAGGTATTTGAAAAGTGCCCCAGGAAAAGGATTGATGTTCAGGAAGAATGAACAAATGAGCATTGAGGGTTATTGTGACTCTGATTGGGCTAGTTGTGCTGATGACAGGAGGTCCACCTCAGGATATTGTATCTTTATAGGAGGCAACTTGGTCTCGTGGAAGAGCAAGAAGCAATCAGTGGTGGCGAGATCAACAGCTGAAGCAGAGTATAGAGCTATGGCCTTAGGAGTTGCTGAGTTGCTATGGTTGAAGAGTATGCTGGTGGAGCTGAAGCTGGATCAAGGAGCTAAGATGAAGTTGTGGTGTGATAACAAGTCAGCCATCAGTATCGCCAACAACCCAGTGCAGCATGATAGAACCAAACATATTGAGATCGATAGGTTCTTCATCAAAGAGAAGTTGGATAGTAGACTACTGGAGCTAAGTCATGTTTCAACTAAGGACCAGGTAGCAGATTGTCTGGCTAAGGGACTTAGCTCAGTAGATATGGTTAGAGGATGTGACAAGATGTGCTTAGTGGATATCTTTCGCCCATCTTGAGGAGGAGTGTTGACATATGAGTAATATGTAGGGACTTATTTGTAAGTTGTATTTTGTAGGGCCTATATAAGCCCAAGAGATCTCATAATAAGATTTAGGGTTTTCTCATATATTTCAACTCTTTAGGAATAGTAAAACTCAAGGATCATTAGATTGTTCAGGGCTATAGAATACTAAAAAAAATACAGGTTGATGTCTCAAGCATCTGGAACCATTTGACATCAGGATAACGTCATGTTCATTATTTTATGTAATAGGATATTTTCATCCCAGGGTTGTATCTGCACTGCAGCCCCTGATTTCTAAATTATACGAAAACAATTGGATTAATTTATCATCATTATATAACTAGCGCAGCACTCTCATCCTATATATACAAGTACTTTCTATTATTGTAAGCATATACAAGAGAAAGAACCAACGGTTCACCAAATTAAAGAAAAAGAAGAACTTCATAATGAAATACAGTACAATGCATTAATCATTTATTCACATTATGCTTCAATGTAATCGTTTTCCTCAAGCCTCACAACTTCGGAGCATTGGGGTAGTGGCAGGGACTTTAGGAATAGTAAAACCCAAAGATCATTAGATTGATCAGGGCTATAGAATTCTAAAAAAATACAGGTTGATGTCTCAAGCATCTGGAACCATTTGACATCAGGATAGTGTCATGTTCATTTTTTTATGTAATGGGATAGTTTCATCCCAGGGATGTATGTGCACTGCAGCCCCTGATTTCTAAATTATACGAAAACAATTGGATTAATTTATCATCATTATATAACTACCGCAGCACTCTCATCCTATATATACAAGTACTTTCTATTATTGTAAGCATATACAAGAGAAAGAACCAGCGGTTCATCAAATTAAAGAAAAAGAAGAACTTCATAATGAAATACAGTACAGTGCATTAATCATTTATTCACATTATGCTTCAATGTAATCGTTTTCGTTTCTTGTCATGACCATACACAGAGATAGGATTGTTCACAATAGAAGCAAGCTGTCACCCACTTTCTGAAAACAAAATTTCTACCCATATTTAATTAGCTATTTCCTGTTAGAATCAAGCACAATGGGAGGTGTGGCTCATATTTTCTTGTTCCAAACTTCTACTAAAAGCAAGGTTTCTGCCCAAATAATCTTATGATTCTTGAAATGGAAAGAATTTAAGAATTATTGATGAACCTGTAAATTGTTGGGGTCTGCGAAAGTATTGTTTCATGTGCACAGATAAACGAGCAAATACTAAACAGTCAAACCTGAAGAGAAAATATGCAGTTTATAATGCTAATATTTCTGCGTATGTGATGGGCGTGTGTGCATGTCAAGTATCTCTGTGCACCAAGCTTTATGTGTTTTGTAAAGCATGATATCAGTTGTGGCATATGCATGAGTGAACAACCGAATAACGAAAGATGCTAAAAATTATTAAATAAGATATCTAACCAAAGCATCACATAAAATAGACTTTTTTATCGTGTGTTCCGTATGTTGTCTAACCAAACAATCTAGCTGGCTACTCCAAGTCCTTAACGCGGTTCAAAATTGTGAACATCAAGTTTTGACATCAAAATGACTGGTTAGTGATAACTTTTTGACAGAAGTTTCTAAGTTAAATTTCTAGGCTCATAGGAGTATTTAAATTTTATAGTATTGACATTTTTACTTTTTTCATGAAATGCCTAATATAAAAACATCTAAACAAAAAAATATTCTAGACTTTTAGGAGTTTTTAAATTTTATTCTATTGTCGTCACGTTTTTCATATCATGTCCACATATACACAGCAATAAAAAGAAATGCAGATTCAATACACAATATTATATGCAAAAGTGATGGTAAAATTAACATCTGAGTGAAAATAAAATTATCAACACGTACCACTACCAATATCAACAACCAAAGGTTTAGTTGGGTCTGTGAAAATAGCATCCCAATCAAGGTGAAACGGATAATCCTGCAGGGAAATAACACAGAAATAAAAAAAAAGAACAAAAAACTACTGACTTTCAGTACTAAAGAAATATATATTTTCGCACATGTAACCCATTTAATAGTTTGAATGAAAGCTTATACTGAGTAAAAACTATGAAATCAATGTCAACGGGTATATACATAAAAACTATAAAGGACTTGCAATAAAATTAAAGCATAAATAATGTACAAATAATTGTTAGGCGGATAATAACTGTTGTATCCACCCAATGACAGATGAAGATGTATGCATAAGAGACAAGTTGAAACATGCATCCAACAAATGCACACCTACAGCTCATTTCTCATACACTGAAATCTGCAGGATTTGATTCATTCCGTTAATATCTAGGTTAATTTCAAAATTCTGCAAATCAGTTTGCAGAATTTGGGTGGTTTCGCAACACTAGCTGCTAACAAGGTATCTGTAACATCCTTGCTCCTTTTGGGCCCAAGTTCTTTTGGAGCTCAAGACTATGAGCATGTTAGATCCCTCCCATACACTGACAAACAAAGACCAAAATGTAGTTTTCAAGATTGTACCAAGATTATAATACCTGCAGAAGTAAATAAGCAACATTTCCCCCAATCTACTCTCATCTTTCAGATATCAAAATGCATTTACTGATAGATGACCATTAAAGCAAGCATTGACTGTTTTTTTTGGGGCGTTATTCGATAATCTGGAAATAACGACAAAAGTGAGCACTAAAAAAACAATCCTAACCTGTCAGATAGGCATCCAAATTACTAATTTCGGCACACACCTTACCATATTGAAAAGTAAGTTTTGAATAAACAAAGTGGCAGATTATGCAGACCAACTTGATATCAACAATTTCAAAATGCAGAAGGCATCATACTGTAAAGTGAGTTAGATTGCATACTCTGTCTAAAGCAGTAACACCTGGCAATGTCCTTCCCTTGAGAAAATCCCACAACACTGATGCACTTTTGAATATTTTATACGTTGAAATAGTACTAGAGTGTCTAAATATTGCCTTGCAAGCCGCATTTCCAACGACAGTTACCTCACAGCCAGCTTTATTTATACTTTCAAGCATCAAAGCTAACTTAGATTCTCCATCTGCATCTTCCACTGATGGATCAAATTTTAGCGGACCAATCCATAAAACCTTCTGGAACGCGTCAGAAAAAAGATAAAAGGAAATTAATATTGACCTAATTAGAAAGCTAAAGTATCAGAAATAATATGGCTAACAGCACAATTCAGAACTTTCATGACTTCCTCATCACCTTCATAAACATACTCTCTCTTGCAAATAACATGAAATACCAGAAATCAAACACCCATCTTTTACTTTATATCATTTTTCTACTTTGAACTAGATTGAGCACAAGAATAAACTGAGATGTGCAATAGTTTAATTTATGAAATTAAGAAAAAATACAGGATGAATGGATAATGAAAAATGAAGAACATTATGCAAAAAAGAGCGAAAATTCCAATAATTCAAAATTTAGAAGGACAATACCCCACCACTGTGATATGAAATAGTCAGTCATTGTGTACCACAATCTCAATGTCATCCGCCCTTAGAGAGTATGTAACATAAAGGTTACAGGACAGACAAAAGAGAATCCCAGAGTTAGGAATGTCACCATTATCATCATCACCTGTTTGACGCATAACTATGTCTCAGAAAACCTGTGTTGCACGGATACATGTGCCGGTGCAGACACGGACACGAGTGCGAACACGGGACACAACAAATTTGTAAAATATATGATATGGGGACATGGTTATATGTGTGTGCTGAAATCAATAATATGTATGTATGTATGTATATGCATGTGTGTGTGTGTATATATATGTTGAAATCAATAATTTATATTGTTTTTTTATTCACATATTATGAGAAATAAAATATCTATAACTTTTTTATTTCTTTATTAAGCAGAATATAAGTCGAAAATCGCTCATTTTTTAACTGGATACCTAAAAGACCATTCAAATTATGAACTGGTATCGGTTGAAACAAACCTGACCTGAGTCCAATGAGATGCAAAAATTTGAGGCCAAGTCTAAGATATACATCCAAGAAGGGTATCATCAGTGTTTCAAACTAAAACATATATTATATAATTGAGTACACATCTATATAAATGTATGTATATACTCAAGAAGTGTTGAGTGTCGGACACGGACACGGACACGGGCATGGTTAGGGGAAGTGTCGGACACGAATACGGGAGTCCAAATGAAGTTTCCAGGTAACCTAGCGCAGAAAACTAACAGGGATGTGACCAATTGTTTGAAAAAAGCTTTTCGAAACTTGCTTCAAAACCTTTTTGAAGGATAATCACTTCGAAACTATCTGTATCCAAACCTGAACCTCTGTGGATAAGGTATCTTAAATCTCCATATCGCATACAAGAGGATACCAATGAGGAATTTGTTTGGATAATCTGAATCTGTTTACATTCATATGTAAACATGAGCAAAACTAATCCAAAACTGTAGAGTATAATGAATTTACAGCTTAGTTCTTCAGCGAACACCTCAAATAATGTCAGGAATATCATCATTAACATAATCACAAGACTTAAAGTTCCCCTGGGCCCATTCCACTGATCCTAATTTCAAAATATGATAGTTATGGAAACATAATATAATAAAGTTTATTCTATAAAGAAGAACATAACTCTCAAAAGTTATCCATGCTTATTAATCATTTGGTGATATTTAAACATCAACTTTAGATGGATTTTATCACATCATTTTCTATGAAGATGCAGAGATTTAAACTCTGGTTTATGAAGAGGCACTCTAGATAATTTTTAGTTCGCTTTATAATGAGGGTATTTAAAAACTCAGCCAATTTGCATAGTAAATGTTCCAAGTCTAAGGGTGGCTTCGAATCAGTTTAAGGAGTGCTTTTTGTCTTAGAATGCTGTCCATGGACAATGTCCACCATATAAATGTAAAGCCTTGTCACAAAGCAACTTTGGGTTGTTAAGCAAAGAGCCAGGACAATGACTTGCATTAGAATCACATATTTTGTGATATCTCTTTTCTTTGATGCTGCGTGGTAAAGTCATGTACAGGAACCAAATTGGGCAGGAACACTTCTAGTTATAATTCTATTAAGACAAAATGGTAACGAATGAATTGAAATTTAACTCCTGCCACTTAGTATATTTTCTAGATGAGAGATGATAGTCATAGACTATTGATCATTTCACCTAACTCCACAGAATATGAATTAATATGGGAGACTAATAAGTAGAGTTAATGCTTCGTTGAATGCTGAAGCAGAAGATAGAGCTAGATATACAGTCATATAACAATTTAAATAGATTTTTCTTTCTTATAGTTAAGAGATAATGAGCTTAGTGTATCATAGTATAGGTACAGAGGTACTATAATGAAGTAACCATACCTTGCATTTTGAAAGCAAAGCAAAAATCTTCTCCAACGAAACTGGACCAAGATAAAGAGGTGTCCAACCTAACAAAGGAAAGCTTCAATGGTAAGACAGGAATTAGTTTTGTTCAATATGCATGTGTATGAATAGGTGCACAGACTAGAGAACTTCTTCATTCATAGGCTTAGAAGGTAACACGTCTCTGTTGCCATGAGGGATATGGCTAGTCACAATGTCAAAGGTGAAAGGGAAAATGCTGAATGGGGAATAAAGCTATGACAAGGCATGGTGTGTACGGATGAACTCTCACCTTCCGTCTCATGAGGTCTGTGTGTATATGTAGCACAAGATAATAGCAAAATAATGTTTCTTCTTTTTCCAGTTTATCTGCTAGAATGAGTGGCATGTAATGTTTCACTGAGAAATAGAATAAATTTAAAATCCAAACATTTCTATCATTGTTTAATGTTTAAATCTTTAAGATTGACAATAAGTTCCCATCTCTTTGCATTATAATGGGTGAAGTTACTAGGAATATATAGAATGAGGCCACATGGTGTCTCATCTTTATAGATGGCACTGCATCAGTTCATGATACTAGCGAAGATAATTTTGAAGCCGAAGGGGGACAAAAGCTTTAATTTAAAGCTTACAGCATCAGTAGGATGACGACAGGAATATGTAGGGTATAACTTTAAGAGAATTATGAGAGAGAAAGGTTGCATTTCGCATTAATGGCCAAGAAATAGCTTAGCTCATCAATTTCACTTAGGATCAATCACAATTTAATGACTTATGATCTATGATGCACGGATACGGATACGGGACACGGATACGACACGGACACGGATACGGGATACGGCAAAATCCAAAAAAATAGGATACGGGGATACGGCGAGGATTTTTTTTAATTATTATTATATATAGAAAAATTTATAAAATTCAAATAACAATCTAAATTATGAATCTATCACAAAATAACAAGTTTGTAAACAAAAAGGAATTTGAGACATACTCATTCCATCACAAAATAACAAGTTTGTAAACAAAAAGGAATTTGAGTTCATACTCATTCCATCAAATCACAACATAACAAGTTTCACAACATAACAATTTTGTAAACAAAAAATACATCAAGATTAAGTGGAAGCTAGTTTGATGATTTCTTCTTACAGATTTAATAAGTTGTTGCTCACTGACTTTGTTTTTCTTTTTACAGATTATACTTAGAGTTAAGCAACAATGAGCAAGGATGAAGGATCACTCAAAATTTTCCAACACAACTGCCAAAATATGCATATTCATTTGTGTAATAATTCATTTGTGTAATAATTCTTTTTACAGATTATACTTCATGATAATTACTATTTAAGCTTTTTTTTCTAATTATGCTAATTAATAAGTTGTTACTCACTGACTTTGTTTTTTTTTTACAGATTATACTTGAGAGTTAAGTAGCAACGAGCAAGTGAACAAAAAAAAGTTGCTCAATTGCTCAGCACTTCAACAGTAGCACAAGCTGCATAAACAAAAACAGTTAATTAGGTTTAGTTATTCAACCATTCAGAGCAGTTTTAAACAATAAATTGAACATGGTCCATGCGAATTTAGTTAGGGTAAAGTGTAATAAACTATTAAAACAAACGTATTAGTTAATCTTATGTCTTTTTAAAAAATAAAAAAATAAAAAAGTAATAAAAGAAAGACGAAGAGAGACGGAAATGAGAGGGGACGGAAATAAGAGAGATCAGATCGATGATGACAGAGATGAGAGGGGACGAAGAGATCGACGAAGGCGGAGATCTCCTCTCGAGATCGACGAAGACGGAGATCAGATCTCGAGATCTGATCGACGACAACGGGCGGTTCGTCGAGATCGACGAAGATCTGATCTGATCGACGAAGACGGAGAGAGAGAGAGAAGAGATCTTACCAGCGTCGGGACGAGGATCGACGACCGACGACGACGAGATGAGGAGAGATCGATGATGACGGGAGGGGATTGATCGACGACAATAAAGCCAGCGGCGAGAGGACGATGACAGGATGCGGTTCGTCGAGCTCGAGAGGACGATGACGAGAGAGATAGAGATGAGGACGAGCGGCGAACTCAGTAAGTGAAAATTAGGGTTTTGTAGCGAAGCGGGTTTGGGTTACGGGTTCTGATTCTGTTTTTTTGCGATGTTTTCTTCATAATTCGGCGAATCCCCGTATCCTTCCCCTTGTTTGACCGTATCCCCCTTGTTTGGACTGTTGACCCGTGTCGGACACGGATTGACCGTGTCCGACACGTGTCTTGCATGTGTCGTGCACGAATCCGTGTCTGATTCGTGTCAGACACGGATTCGTGGTCTCCGGGGGAGTATCCGTGCTTCATAGCTTATGATTGCATGCTTGATGCGGAGGCTCATAAAATCAAAGTGGAAACTTCAAGTGGAGAAATGATTCCAGTGACTTATGACAGAACAAAGGGAAATTTTTAAAGATTGCTGTGCAACCAGCTACGCTGCAAAAATCTGCATGCTGGCAATTTCAAGAAAAATGAAGGTAGAGAAATGAGAATTCTGAGATTGCTCAGTAAAAATATGCTGAAAAATAGGATAAGATAAATCTTTCATATTATGCCGCTTACTGTCTTTTCTTTCACATCTTCCTCTATTTAAGCAGCTTCTAAGTTATTGTTTAGAATCATTTTGATATGCAATTCTGGAGGATATTAATACAATTTTCTCCACATTATTGACAATGTTGACCTTAAATTAATTGAGGACAATTTGCATTTAATCTTTGTAGAGCATTTGATTCTTAATATTTCTACTGGAATTAAGTAAGGACAATTTGCAATTAATCCACGCTCCTGAGTCATCGCTTTAAACATTAACACCTCTTTAACTGTAGAACAGCTTTAGCTTATATACTTATTTTATGATGCTTTTCTTCAGAATGTATATTATGCTGCATTTAAAGTGCAAAATGCATGTTAACATCGGGAATAAATACCAAAAGAAAAATGGCTAAAAAAGTTCTAGTTCATCTTCCAATTACTCAAATAAAATATGCATGTACTCTTATACATAAATTAATTCAAGCATACAAAAACATAGAATCTTATGCATGTGGAGCTTAGCACACAACACACGCGCAAGCATGTTCATGCACATAACAATGTGATGTATAATTGAAGCAGAACTCATGACATCTTCCTTGTCATTTAACCTTTCGCCAAACTTGATAAAGTAAATACTATCAAAAGTTCATTTAAGGAGATATAGATTAATTACCAGCCATTATTCCATCAGAACGAAACAACTGCAAACTCTCTGGGTTGTGATTATCAGCACACCACAAGTCATCTGGATAATATATTGGTATTCTCCTATTGTGTGCAATTTGAATCAATTTTAATGCCTCTCCAGCAGCATCTTGTTCAATAAGGCATGACGGGACGGATACACCCAAAGCATGCATAGTTTGAAATGCCAATTTCCCGATAAAAATTAGGCCATCACATGTAGAAGCTAGAAGATGCAAAGCAGGTGCTTTTTCTAAGAAATTCCCCCCACCAATCTGCACCAGAATGTGCTCTTGTTAAGCCTTCTCTTTGTACATGGACAGGATTAATAACAGTATCAAAAATCACAACCCCAATTCAGAGAAGTTTAAATAAAGTGATTTTCTTATTACTCTACTGGAAATAGGTGACTCCTAGTGCGGAACAAGACCACAGGATATATAAACAAAAGTTGCTCCTAGTACGGAACAAGACCACAGGATATATAATCATAAATATTGGTCAAGCCAACCTAACTGCTCATTTTGTCATATAAATGCAAGCATAGGCACCAGATAGAATCATTACCCCAAAAAAATGAAGTTGTTCAATATCGGATTAGAAGTACCCGTTTATAGTTCACGCTCAAATATCAAAAATAAGTTTCAATTCAGCATTTGCTCGTATCTATTTCCACAATATGTATGAAATAGTTAACAATATGCTGTCATTTGATTCTTTGGTTGTATATAGTGCCTCGAACTTAACGCAGGTTACCTAGTGAACCTTTCCATCTTCCGGATCCATGAGAACTTTGTCAAACTTAGGGGAACTGAGAATGTCTCAGCAGCTTCACAAGCTTAAATTGCATTAAGAATAACATAGGTCTTCTTATCTGCCGCCTAACTGAGTTTAAGGTGTATTTTGGCCCAGATGGGCCTTGACCAAGACCTTGGTATCATACTCTGGCTTGTATTATAACAAAGGCCAACATACAAGTTAGAAAATGACTACCATTATGATAGCAAAATGGGCATGCATCCATTAGAAGGTGCAACAGGCAACAGCAAAGACTAAAATCTGAAATAAGAAAACATATCTATTTTACAAACATCTTCAGGGACCCATGAGATATGTCTCACAAAGTCACAACATATAAAAGCATGGCGATGAAAATTATATGATCCTAATGAGAAACGTGATACTGTCACGTGAAGAGGGGCATGCCTTAACTATCAAAGTTAAAACTGATATATAAGGGCTTGTTTGGCAATTCACCCACTAACTTGGATAAGGGCACTAACTTGGATAGAGGCTTAAGTTGTGTTTGACAAAAAACTAGTTCAAGATTAGACTAGTTTTTTCAGTTTAAAAAAGAGACCCTTATCTAGGTTATCTTTGTAGTTCGGACCACCCCAACCTTGGTCCAATCCTAACCTGGTTAAGGCCATAGCTGGATTAGTGTGAAGTTGCCAAACAAACCCAAGACTCCGTAACCATTGTGCAGCATTGGAAAATTCATTTTATCTAATAATGCTCGACAGGCTAAACTGATCGGGTAGCAGCACGGTCCTCTGAGGCTCGACAGGCTAAACTGATCGGGTAGCAGCACGGTCCTCTGAGATTACCCAGGGGAAAACAAACTGCATCTGAGCATGTAAGTCCTATTTTAGCAACATCTAGAAAGCTTTCCTTAGAGGTACAGGCCAGAAGGAACATAATAATCCTAAAGCAAAAGGAAAACACCAGGCACAAAGGCAAAGAAATTGAGTTTGGATCAAATTGTTGAATTCAAAGGAACACCGAAAGTCAGATTTGATAAATGGTAATATTCACAAACCATTTCAAATTCTTAGCAGGGATGACTGAATCATCAAACAGGCCAATTTAAAACTTAATATGTAAGCATTTACTTTAATAGTCAAAAAAAAAAAATTTGTTTCAGAACAATAGTTGTAATTCAGAAGAAAGAAAGGTTTTATTTGGTTATCCAGAAATTCACTTAAGTAAGAGTAAGCCTCAAAACTCCAAACAAAAGATGGTGTTCAGAAACACCTTGCATGTCAAAATATATTGAACTCCGTCCTTAACAAATGTTGGCCTACCTAAGAAAGCCTAAAGATACAAAAAAGAACTAAGCTGATCTTCCTTAGATGTCCGAAAGCTGTAACACAGAGCTCAGGATGAAAACTTGAGGATTAAGTAAAAACAAACTTAAGAATCATATTGTTGGAGATATTCCAGTATCATAACAATCAACTGTAGAAGAATATAGTCCGGTACATAAAATTTCAATAGACTATGGCTGAAGAAAACAAATTCCTGAAGTAAGATTGCATATAAACTATTTAAATCAGACTCGACCATAGTTGTTAACTGCATAATTTAGTTCCACTCTAGGTATCCTAATGAAGAGAAATGAAGTGAGCAGAAAAATCCAACCTAGCTTTAGACAAGTGGTAATACTAAGCACTGCAATGAAGTGTACTCCAGTGGTGCTATTTCATCTATTACAAATCAGTAATTCAAATGACGGCAAATTGTTAGAAGTTAGATATTTGCAGGACAACTCTATCTTAAACCTAATATACACCTTTCCCCTTTTAAGCTCATGTTAAACAAATCTAATCCAATTGTAGTCTCACCAACAAGTAAAAGGAAAAATCTTGCGTTCTAGATTCGCTATTACTAAATGAGGATGCCCTTGATATTACAATCACGATAGTGAACTTATTAGTCCTCAAACATTTGTCTTAGGCTTAACTACAGCAAGAGATATGCTTCAGTTTATGAGGAAAACATATTGTTCATAACCTACCTTGATTGTTACACAATGGAACCATAAGTCTGACGACTCTGACATATTCATCAAAAATTACATTAGTGGTAGAGTTGATCAAAAAGAAAAGAGAACTATACTTGAAGAGGAAGAGTATCCCTTCACACATCTAAATGAAGCTCATGGCAACAGTAATTATGTTTATTTCATCAAAAACGAAGAAAAAAAAACAAAGGCTAAAAGAAAAGAGGTTCATATCTAGTCAACACAGTTTGTAATAGAAATTTAAAAATGTAATGAGGAGGCATATACAATTGCAAAATATGGTTGTCTGGTTATCTTCCTGGCTTCTATTAATTGCAATAGCTTCTCTTCAAAATGGAAACCTGCAACAGATGCATCACAAAACCGCGAGATTCCAACAGTTGATGCAAGAATCTTATGGGATAAGGAGAAAGCATCATTAACAAAGACATAAGCTCCTGATGATAATTTTCTAGAAAAATCTGTGCAATTAGTCAGTTCTTCTCTGAACTTCGATAAATTTGGAAGAAGGAGAACATCTGATTTCTTGATCTTTTCCTCTGTAGATTGCATGAGATCGGAAACAATATTTGCTGGCACGACTTCAATGTTGAGAAGCTTGGATAGATGATCTGTTAAATGAATAAGCAATAAACAAGCGAGAAACAAGCGAGAAACTCAAAGTTACAAATCCATGATCGAACTCAAGATAAAATAGGAGGCTCTACGATATATAAATAAAATGCTTGTTCATGCTTCCTCTACATCATATAACCTTAAATTCTTATACAAATTAAAGCAAAACACAGACACTAAACATGAAACATGTTTTATGCTATTGAAAATTATAAATGAAAAACAAGAAAGGCACAACCAAACTATGAAAACACTAGTCTTATTTAGAAAAGAAGTCCTTTTGCAGATGAGTGCAACTGACCTGCAAAAGACTCGGTCGAAAGAAGGTTCGAGTCACTGGAATTACCCCAATTGCTAATCAGCAGGACTTTAGCCCCAGCAGTATGCAAATATCTGATTGTAGAAAGAGCACCGTTCAAAAATAGACTATTGATGCCCAGTTGTTCCAGCAGGAGAGATGAATCAAGTCGCACAATGGCAACTTCACCAGAGAGCTTTTCAATGGGAAACTTCCTAAGAGTTTGTACATGCAGACGTAAATTATCACTGGAATCACAGTTTTTTTCCTAAATACAATGTAAACAAAGGCAGAGGTCGATAAGGCTAGTCTTGAGGAAAACCAACTAGTTATGTGATACAAAGAATAAGCCTAGGCATTAAGTTAATGGATGCTGAAAAAACTAGTCAACTTTTAGTATCTTTCTATATTTGTAGTAAGATCAAAATGCACCAAATGAGATATTTCTCATATATAAAAATATGTCATAAAGGAAGAATTTATGCTTCCTCATGCCCCAGGACAAAAATTGGGAACATGAAATCATTTGGCTCTTTGGGTTAGTTTTATGCCACAGCGGCCATTGAGTGCTATCGGAATTTACAAGACCTTAAGGTTGCATTAAGAGCTCTGGACTCTTTCACGGCACAGTTAACTTTGAAGATTGGCTAATTGCGTTTGTGATATTCAAGAGCCTCACTGCCTTACTGAAGAAGGGAGGCTTAGTTGCACACAATATTCCCTTTAAGAAGGTTCAATTCGGCCCTTCTCTTCATACTAAATACAAAAATTTTAAACCAAAACGCAGAGAATTAGTTTCATCTAAAGCTTTGATGGGAAAATAAAATGCTAGGGTGATGATGGAAAATAGTGTTTAATGAGCTCTGGCTTCAAAAGCCATGAACTCCTAATATTAAAAGATGAGATTGAATGAACTGACGATGAAAAAGCTGATGCTCATCAAAAACATAATCATTGAATACTGAATCATGTCCTCAAAAGGGCTGGAGAGCTTTGTAAGAATTATTTGGCTTCACCGCATCTGCTGGATTGTTATCAGCAAAAATAACTTGTAGAGAATATCTGTTCAACTCAATAAAAGTTTAATAGCAGTTTCAGGTTGACATCTTTTTATTTACTCTCGCTAATTCTGATTAGCGCTACAATTTCCAACAATGATACCCCCTGATTATCAACAAAATTAGATCTTTCTAAACCCTAATTCTAAATTAATTACTGTCACCATTTCTAACCCTCCCAAGTAAATGAATCACCTCTCTTTGAACCCAGCATTTCTCAGCGAAATGCAGCTTCCGACCAAAGTTAAGCCTTCGAACACCTAGATACAAAGAAAGTGGAGAAATTTCAGAACAATATGATAATACGTTTTGAAAATGCAATGCATCATCAAGAAAAGTCGGCGACATTACTCTTAGAATGATAGCACAAAGGCTGCGGCTGCAGCGATTGCGAGCTTGGATTGTGAAGTAAACTCAGGGGGTGATTCATCCCTCTGCGCTCGACGGCAGCGCCGGCGGCGGAGGC